TAAGATCTAATAAAACCAGAATAGAAGGATTTTGTGCATCAGCGCTGAGCCTGAGGTCATTCATGACATGAACCAGTTCTATCATTAGAACGAATACCTGATTAAAACTTCTCATATAACTTATTCAATATTCGATTTTATTATCTGAAAACAACTTTTTCTAAGAATTTACTTAAAAAAGCAGGTTTGAAATTGGTCTAAAGTTATTTAGTACTGAAGGATCCATGCTACTCTTTTTTAGCAGAGGCTTCACCAGGGCAGTTTTAAAAGCTTTTGGAAGAACACCTGCTGAACAATTTACAATAGTTAAAACATCCTTGTGAACACAATCAAAAACTAACTTAAGGAATGAAGCAGAAAACAGGGTCAAGATCACATGTGGACAAACTTAATTGAATTAATTGCAAATTCGTCACAAACTTTAAAAGATAAATCATCATGAGACACGCTCGTAGCAAAGTTAGGGTTAATTAGTAAGTCTATGATGGAAAAAAGGAATTTTCAACTGTCCCTGTGTCAATGTAACACCTTTTCAAATCATTTTCTGGCACATTCTTCCTTACTTCTGTATTTACTTGCTCAGCGTCCAGAGCTCATGTTCTTCTGAGGTCACCATTTCCTCAATGACCAATGATCAGTTGAAGACTGGAAAACTAAAAAAGCTGTTACAAGGATCACAGTTATTAACAAATTTTAAATGAATTTAACAAAGTTTTCAGCATGTACGTTTATATTTTGGTCCAGAGTCTGGCCAACTTCAGTTATTGTATATATGCAGTAACCCTTGGAAATGTCTAAGATCTGAATACTTCATGTTTTTTTTCTTAGTAAATATGAAATGTACTGCTTAATGCAGTTCTGCAGTATTTTTGCTACATATCCACTTTCAGGCTGCGGTCACAGGTGCATATTTTGGACATTGCTGACAGCTACGCTAACAGCTAGAGATGGAAAGTAAACCACAAGTGTGGGAGGGTACTAGATAACATCTTAAAGGATGTTACTTTCAGACTGATCTTAACAGCACTTTAGTTTGAAGTAGTTGGATTTACATGAACTCTCACTTTTATACACTCGATCACTCCTGGCAGTGGACATAGAGGAGTAAGAGAGCTGTGGGAGTCCCATCAAAGGAAATATCAAAGGAGGTATCAATGGAGATAACCTCAAGAACAATGTTATTCTAAAGCTAAGCTAACATTTTCAAAAACAGATTTGGCTTGAAATTCCATTCACACCATTTTCTAAAAAGCTCACTCAAGAATAATGTTTTTTTTTCAGGATGCAAACACCAAATTAAATTAAAACAAAGTAAAATAAAATAATCAATAATTATAATTATAAACATTATTTCTATAGGACCTTTCATACTTTAAAATACAGCTCAGTTTGCTCTACAGGCAAATAAAAAAAACAGGCAAATAAAAACCAGCAAAATAAAAAGGCAAATGACCAGCATAAGAGAACAAAAACAAAGAGAAAAAAAGGAGAGAAAAAAAAAAACAAAAATGCAGAAAATAAAACCATTGAATAAAGTAATAAAGGATTAAAAATGCAATAATTGATCAGTCTAAAACTAATGATGAAGTACCAATAGAAATAAATAAGTAAAAATGCAATAGTAATAACAAAGGAATTGTAGAAACAACAACAAATCTCAAATAAATAAATAAATGGTCATAAAGTGGGACAATGAAAAAGATACAAAAAAGTAAAACCAGAAAAAAAGCTAAAATATAAGCTGAAGTAAGGCCATAAGAATATAGACGGCCACATATTAATTAAAAAATAATAATTACTAATAGCTTAACAAAAACAAAGAAAATGTTTAAAATCATTGCTTAGAAAACGTTGACGTTTGAATCGCTCCTCACTCTAAAGGCAATATAAACCTCCATTTTAAATGATGACAGAATTCATTCTTTCGTTCACCTCGTATGTGTTGCTTAAAATATCCAAAATGTCCAAAAGTGTCCAGACAGTCCATCTAATGAGTGAAATCAGGTGCAAGTGTAAGCAGTTGTGCGAACACAGCTGATATAATCTCCATAGAAAAGCACTGTTTGTGGCTGAATGCAATCAGATCCTCACAGCAATGTTCCAACATGTAGTGTAAAGTCTTCCCAGAAAAGTAGAGGCTGTTACTGCAGCAGAGGAGGAGAAACTCCCTATTAATATCCCTCGTTTCAGCAGAAACAAATCACTGCTGTCAGGAGAAAACTTCATATCTCCAGAATGGTAACTTTAAAGGAGGAGGAAAAAACAGACTTTGCTTTTAATGTAAGTCAATGGAACCAGAATTTTTTACAAGTCATTTCGGGCCGTTTCTTTTGGTCCATTCATCATGAAATTTACGCACAATGTGAAAAACAAGAGGCATTTTCAAAATATATCAAAAACTGAAAAACATCAACAATGGAGATGCAAGGTTTTGTTCTGACAACAGTGAAATACTCCTGAGCCCGTGCCCCTTTTGCCTCAAAATGAATAACCTCTAAAACTTGTAACAGGATGTAAACGCATTGCACAAGTGTACAAAAGCCACCGTGATCACACAGCGCTGCTGTTGCTCATGTCCGAATTGTTTTTTCCTCTGATGCTTTCAGTTTATGTCATACGACAGCACCAGTGGATCTCCTTTTACTAGTGTTCACCTGGTATCAGCAGGTAAGTTCACTTCAGTCATATAAACAATTGCTTAGGCCAAATATGCAGTACAATATGCAGTTACATTAGCTTAAAAACAAAGGTATGTTGCTTATGTATGGCAGTAAAGACATTTCATAACAATGTCTATATTATAATGACAATGCAGTTTGATGAAATTAACATGACTTGATTTATTGAGTCTAGATTTATTGAAAACAGGCATCACTTCATGGAAGTTAGTGTTTAACTCCAATTTGGCCAAAGCTCCTGGCAAGTTATCTGCATCTTCACACATCTCCTAGTATACACAAGAACCGCCCACGTGCTTGTAGGCTACCTTTAATGTCTAGCTTCCAACACACGCACATGAGCTACGACTACTCAGCGAGCAAGTGAGCGAGCAAGCAAAAGAGAGATTGAGGTCTCTCTCTCTATGTGTATATATATATATAGAGAGAGAGCGAGAGAGAGAGAGAGAGAGAGAGAGAGAGAGAGAGAGAGAGCGCGAGAGAGAGAGAGAGAGAAAGAGAGAGAGATTGAGATACAACACCACCTAAAAACTCTAATAACCCTATGCATTTCAAGGACCAGCCAACGGGCCTGAAAAACAAGAGCGGCCAGCTAATAATATCCTGTATTACATACTCCATTAAATATAGCCCAGAGAAACGTGCAGTAAAAGTCAGCAAAGTAAACAACAGACTCCTTCTTTTAACAGCATCATCATAAGCATAAAGACCACAAGACCAAACCAAGCTGCTACAAAAACAATCAAAAAGTCAGATGAGACAATAACATGAAATAGGTAGGACTATTATTTCAAGTTCATTCTGTGTCTCCCTGTTGCATAAAACCAGAATTTAGATTGTAATGCTTTCAGTTTGAAGTCAGATGTGTTTTTAATTTATTTTCATGATAGAAATGTTAACAAAATGAACAAAGCCATAAAATATGCAGGATGTGCACCAGTGAGCATCAGCATTATGTCTGGATGGACGTTATCCATACAGAATGGTGTAAACATACTCGACACATGGAAAACTCAAAACGTTTCACAAGCAAAACCCCTTCCAACACTGCTGTTCTGCATTTGGGGAAGACTCCGCCCACTAGACCTCCACCACTAAACAAAGGTGTATCTGCTCCTTCAGTTCAACTGTGAAGTTATTTCAGAGTCATTATCGGAAAGTCTGTCCACTCAACGGCCATCTCGGCGATGCTGCAGGGCAGCTGTTTCCAGTACAAATACAGGCTCACATTTCTTTGAATGGGGAAAGACCTGTTGTTCATGGTTCATGAGACATGGTTTGTCTTCTTGTAAACACTGACTTAATTGTGATTTTTAATAAAAAACAACATGAAAACAAAGAAAAAAAACACAGGATTGGTTGTGGTATATGAGATGATTTGACCCACCATAAAGCATAAATGTGGACACACTTGACTAACAAGTGTGAATGCATGCGGTTGGTTTGGTCATCAGATTACAATCCAGATGCAAGTCACATTAAACAAGCAGGTGCAAACCAGACACACACGTCGGCTTTTGGGGTAAGACAGTAAAATAATGGTTGAACAAAATAGTTACAATGTTACATGCACTCAATAATCCAATCATAATCAGATTTCTGCAGTTATCTGATTATTCAAATGGTCATGTAAACAGCACACTCTGATTTCTTAGATCGGAGTGAGGTCTAGAAATCAGATTAAGAAATCCAATAAAGAGGCTGGATTTTAGCTCAGTAATCAGATTTCTCAGTGCATGTAAACTCTTACTCTGATTTCTTTCGCATTTCTCAGTCTGAGCATATGTGAAAACAGATTCATGCAGAGTCATGCAGAACTGAAGTTTCCCCATTATCTGATTACTCAAGTGCATGTAAACACATTGATCAGATTACTGACAGAATCTGATTTTCTGCAGTTATCAGATTATTAAGTGCATGTAAACACACTGTCACTGTAGTTATTTAATAGGAATTTTTTATTTATTAGGATTGTTCTTAAAAAAAAAGTCAGTTGAACATACTGTGCCGCTGCTTTCACGACATTTGAATTGTTTTTGTCCAAATCAAGCAGCTGGACTGGATTATGATGTAACTGACCACATACGTAATCCTCTTATTAATGACTTGCTGTTTATTTTTCAGTGTAACTGATGCCCTTTTCCCTTTGGCCAGTTTCAATTCTTAGTGTTAAGATGAATGTTTGTGGTTTACTTCATTTACCTCACTGCTAGTTCAAGTATTCAGTACTGTGTGGCTGCGAAGGAGGGAAGTGACCCTCTTCCTGTACATCTAAGACATGCTAATGCTTTACTGGTTGGAGCAGAGAGCTGTGAAATCTGCATGAACATGCAGAAAATCATGAAGTCTCTCCTTTTTCTCACACTCAGTGTTCATCTGGCATCAGCAGGTGAGTTTACTTTATGTAAACAATTTCTTAGGCAAAATATCTATATTTAATATATGTAATGCACGTAATATTTCACTGTTGTCGGAAGAAAACCTCGCATCTCCAAAATGGTAACTTTACAGGAGAAGAGAAAAACCTACTTTACTTTTAATTTAAGTCAATGGAACTAGAATTTTTTCTCAGTAATTTTGGGCCATTCATCATGAAATTTACACATAATGTAAAGGGCAACAGACATTTTCAAATTATGACAAACTGAAAAACTACAAAAATGGAGATACGAGGTTTTCTTCCGACAGCAGCGACGTAAATGTAAAATATAAATACCATATATAGATATTGTGGTATTAATTTATGTGTATTAATATGTGGCATTAAGTAAAATATAGTGCAGTATTCTGCGTGTCGGAGCTCATAACTTTGTTAATGCTTTCCAAAAGATCAGACTTTTAACCCCTTAAATGGCAGCTCCAAAGTTTTATTACACACTATAATGTAAGAATAGCTCAGCCAGTTTGCACTGAAGTCCCTGTAGTTACTGAATAATAACTACTTCAACTCTTTGCTTCAAACAACACAGCTTTGGTTCTACACTGCTTTGATTGGGAGGCAATGGAATGTAACAGATGAACGTGTCTTTACTTCATCAGAGTATCTGAGGCCATGTTTACATTCAGCACTGCACCAGTTTAACCATTTCAGCATTTACATCAATAGAGAACATTAAAATGGCATTAGTCCTGGGATGAAAGAGACTAGTAACCAAAATTGTCTATATAACAGTGAATATAATGAAGTTACATAGCAGAATGAAACACCTGTAATGTGTAGAAATCAGATGAGAATAAAATAATCAGTCTAATCAACTAATCAATCTAATGTAAATGGAACTGAGGAAAAGAAGGACTGAAAAAAAAATGCAGTCAATACAATAGAAGATAATTTGGTAACACTTTCTATGAATGTCACCTTTGTAAGCATCTATAAACACATTCATAACATGTTATAATGCATTCATAAGGCATTATAAACATGGCTATGAATATTTATAAAAATGCATTACATGTTATAGCCATGCTTATTATGCATTATGAATTGTTAACATAAGACATTATAAGTACTGTTCATAACAAATTATAAGAGCTCATAAGTTGTATTTATCTGCTCTAAGTAAAGTGAAGCGTACTGTACTAAAGCCTCCTCCAGTGTTCAGAGTGAGGCTTCAAGTTGAAGTATTTACTGAAGGATTTACTGAAACACTAAAACATTCACAGTAAAGCACATTACAGGCTTCAAATGTCAGAGTTTAAACTAGTGCTGCCATCAGTGCTTTACCCAATGTGGGAAAGGTAATGTACACCACCGTTAGCTTGGTATTTGTCTTTACTTTACGCTCTCCAAGCTGGGACTGACTTCTTTGGCACTGACATTATAACATGTTATTAACACTACTTATAATGCATTATATTAACAATTCATAATGTATAATAAACATGGCTATAAAGTGTAATTCATTTTTGTAAATGTTTATAATCATGTTTATAATGCCATATGAAGGCATTATAACATGTTTTAAATGTGTTTATAGATGCTTACAAACGTGACATTCATAGAAAGTGTTGCCAATAATTCTAATGCTATCGGAATAGCATTCATTTCATAAAATCAAAAGAAAACACAAATGGAGAAATTAGAAAAACATAAGCAGTTAATACTGTTGCAGTGCCAACCCCCAACACCCCCACCCCGCTGTAGGCCCCACAACTGCCACCACCTGATCTAAAATAGTTGATCTAAAATTGTCTTGTTTCCTGATGACTTGTGGGTTATATATGTATTTATATAAATACAAATAAATATAAATATAGATGTAACCCACAAGTTTCAGGTTTGGGGCCTTTGCTTTTCTCTTTGTATATGCTATACCCAGTAATGTCATCAGGAAACAAGACAATTTTAGATCAACTTTAAGCGGTGGCACTTCTCAGCATGAGGATAACATTAAAAAAAAAAACTTTATTTGTAAATAACCAGTAAATAACAGCTAATTAACTTCTAATAAATCAAAACTCAAACTAACGGTCATCAGTTTCATGAACTTTAAGAGTAAGAAACTGTTTCATGACACTTGATATGTTTGCCTTATTTAAATTGTCTTTACTCAGTTCAGTTAATGAACCTCAACTTTAGGATTTACACTGAACCTTTTCCATATTAGCTGAAAACTGATTTAGGAGGTTTGTGAGAATAATTTTGAATGATATAAATTACGATCGATTATCATTGAAAACATATTCCTTTTACAATCATAGCCTTGAGCATCATCGAAAAATATTAGGAATCAGAAAACAACATTGTGATTACAATTAGTCTTTTGTTTTTTCATCCTGACAGCCACTCACTCTCTGCAATACCTCTACACTGCAGTAACTCCAGGAATAAGCTTCCCAGAGTTCTCTGTGGTGGGTCTGGTGGATGGAGAGCAGATTGTGTACTATGACAGTAACATCAGGAAGATGATCCCCAAGACAGGCTGGATAAAGGAGGTTGAGGATGAAGATTACTGGAACAAAGAGACCCAGATTAGTCAGCGTCATGAGGAGAACTTCAGAACCAGTGTGGATAATCTAAAGCAGCGCCTCAACCAGAGTGAAGGTGAACATGAACACACACAGAGCTTTTGTCCCCTCATCCATGATCACTGTAAAGTATGGTGTCTCATAGTTTATTGCTTTACTTTATTTATTTATTTTTTTAATAAAGTAATAAGCTTTTTATAGAGAAATAGTAATACATGTATGCAGCTACACTGGATCTCTGAAATACACTATGACTCTGGAGTGAAAACTTGCCAGTTAATGAATGAACGTCCATTCATCAACATGGAAAGACTCAGAAATGAAATGAGACAAAACTGTGAGGACCTTCATAAATCAGATAATGGCTATAAAATATAATTACAGGCCTGAAAATACCCAAATCCACTGAATAATAGCTAAGAAGTTTAAAACAACCAGTTTAAATCAACCAGTCATGGAAAAAGACGCAATAATACAAATACAGAGACAAATATAATATTTGCACAGAAATACAGTTTGTGTTAAACTTCTTAAAGCTTACCTTTTAAAGCTTTTATTTTGTAGCAGAAATCTTTAAATCTGTGTGAAATGTTGAATTACAAGGGTCTGAAGGCCTGCAAATTGAGCAAGCCTGTTGTGGTGGTAGATACTAGAGCTCAGTTGACAGCTGAATGGAGATCAGACTGCAGTGCTGTATCTGTAGATAATGGAGCTGAATGGAGATCAGACTGCAGTGCTGCATCAACAGATGATGAAGCTAAATGGAGATCAGACTGCAGTGTCGTATCTGTAGATAATGGAGCTGAATGGAGATCAGACTGCAGTGCTGCATCAACAGATGATGAAGCTAAATGGAGATCAGACTGCAGTGTCGTATCTGTAGATAATGGAGCTGAATGGAGATCAGACTTGGAGCTAAAAAGAGATCAGACTGCCGTGCTGTATCAGCAGATAATGGAGCTGAATGGAGATCAGACTGCAGTGCGGTTTCAGTTGGTAATGGAGCTGAATGGAGATCAGACTGCAGTGCTGTATCTGTAGGTAATGAAGCTGAATAGAGATCAGATTGCAGTGCTGTATCTGTAGATAATGTAGCTGAATGGAGATCAGACCGCAGTGCTGTGTCTGTAGATAATGGAGCTGAATGGCGATCAGACTGCAGTATTTAATTTTGTGTCAATATGAAGTGTTCATGTCTCTCTGCAGGAGTTCACACAGTGCAGTGGATGTACGGCTGTGAACTGGATGATAATGGGACCAAAAGCGGATATGATCAGTACGGTAATGACGGGGAAGACTTCATCAGTCTGGATCTGAACACTCTCACCTGGACTGCAGCCAACGCTAAAGCTGTTATCACAAAAGAGAGGTGGGACAGTGAAGCCTGGGCTCCTCAGATGAAGAACTACCTGGACAATGACTGTATCAATTTGTTAGAGAAGTATACAGGTGATGGCAGATCCACCGTGGAGAGGAAAGGTAAGGTAAAATGTTCTGTTACTGTAACTGTTCACTCTCACTCAGGGTTGGGGTAGCTACTGAAAAATTAGTAGCTACTTTCCCAAAATTTGTAGCTGCTACAATTTAGCAACTTTATTAGAAAAAAAGTAGTGGCTACTTTTTAGCTCCTTTCAAAGCGTGATTGTCAGAATGTTTGTGAATCTCCACCTGACACACCAAACAAGCCCAACTGACAGTGTGAACAAGACACTGCATTAAATCATGAGCCAGAAAGAAACAGACAATTGAAAAGCTGCAAATATACAAGAAGATCACCAAAAAGTCAGTTTAAGTGTAACCAACGATCAAACTTACACAGCCGAAGGCCTGATATCCAGCAAACGTTTAGACTAAAGGCAAAGTAAAGAGTCAGTCATTCCAGGTTTTTCCTAACAAAAATCAACAAAAAAACTGAATATAAACCAGAGAATTTGTGCAAAGCATTGTCAACTGCTGAAATAAAACTGCTCCAATTTAAACATTTCAGCCAGATCTGTACAGACATGACGCTGGCTCTGTCTGGGGTGAATCAGGCCTGAATAATCTCTCCACTGCTGCAGAGCTGCTGCGGCTCCACAGCAGAACTAGACTTTTAGGTAAAATAATATAATAATCCTCCTATACTGTAAAATCATTATAACACACAGTTCTAACAGTTTTCACAATAAATGGTCTTAAACACTGGAGTTAACGCAGAACTGCTAATTCACCCTTTAACGCTGAAGACTGACGGACAGACTGCTGGTCACACAGCAACGCAGACAATGAAAGTGGCAAAGAGAGAGATTTGAGACGAACTGACTTATTTGCATTTATAATCACTCCAGCTGGTTTCCTGATATGTTTAATCTCCAACAACTCACCAAGCTGAAGTCGCTTCTCATTCTCCTGCTTCTCGTTCAAATTGTCCCGTTCCACCTTAAATAGCGCAGCTGTACAATCTAGCGCCTCAGGCACCAGTTAAGGTGGATTGGGACCATTCGTATGAGAAGCTGGTGAATGAGAAGCGACTTCAGCCTCGTAAAAAGTCGAACAGTGAGAGACATTTTACAAGAAACTCATGGAGAAGTTTCCTGAGATGCGAGAAAAGCGGTTATAGATGAGCTAAAAGAATTAGTAGGCGCTACAGCTACTAGCTACATTCAGTAAAACTGTAGCGGCTACAGCTATTAGCTACAAAGATTTGCAGTTAGCTACAAAAAGTCGCATGCTACTTAGATACATTGTGAGCAGGGATGGGGTAGTAGCACTCAGTCACATTCATCACTGAAAAGCAACTGATTATTTACTATCACTATCACTCATGGCATCCATCCACTGCACACTGACCCATTAGCAATTAAGTAAGTTGCTTGACTTACTGTTCTTTTTAATCATCTTATTTTTCACAGTAATACCACCAAACTTTACATTAATATTCAGCCTACACATCTGAAGCACATACACATATCTCCAGAATGGTTACGTCACAGGAGAGGTGGTTTAAGTTTTATGCAGATTTTATTCCAAGCTATTTTAAAGCATTTCTATTGGTTCACTGATCATGAAATTTTCACACAGCATAAAGGGCAGTTACTGTGCTCAAAACATATATATAAAAAAAAAAACACAAAAAAGAGCTTTTTTGGACAGCAACAATATGTTGTAAATACAATATAGCCAAGAATCATTAAGCTGCCAGGAAAAGCTACTGCATTATGTACTGAAATTAAATTGAATTGAAATAAAATTTGAAAAAAGTAGTTCAGTAAAGGGTTTTTTGCTCCACTGTCTGAAAAGAGCCAGTAATGAGTCCATCCAGCAGAATAAACCCAGAAATGTGAAAAGGACCTAGACAAATTCTAGCAGGGCTGCCAACTTTTACATTTTTGTTGGAGTGAGATTTGAGAGGTGTGGGGGTATTGTAGTTATATATATATATATATATATATATATATATATATATATATATATATATATATATATATATATATATATATATATTCTAGCTATGCATGTCATTACATAAAAATTGGTTAACACAATCACAAACATTTTGAGATACCCCGGTTGTGAATGAGTAAGGAGTACGGCAGAGGCAGTCTTAGAGGCACAGAGATAGTTTATCATTCACAGTGAAACAAAAACCCTAGTCTTGGAGGATAAAGCGGTCATCTGTAACAAAAACATCTGTCTGTCATCTTGTCGTTCATGCTAAGCTCGTTGTTGAGATGTCAGGTTTCTCTGCTGCCTCTCTTTCTCAGCTCTCCCTCTACTGAAGAAAAAAAAGGATTAGTAGGGAGAGAGACAATTATCCACAGGTGCATGTGCTTACCAATCAGCCTGCTCCCTGACTCAAACTAGCCCTCTGCCTCACAGACAGTGTCTGACCATGCCCCTGCTGCCACATACCCCCACCACCTGATTCAGGCCAGGCAGCTGTCCGGCCAGCAGCTGACACCCCCAACCAAGGCAGGAGAGGAAATCAGCCACCATCATCAGAGCCCCAGGCCTGTGAACCACCTCAAACCTAAAGGGCGGCAAGGCCGGATACCTGCAGGTGATCTGAGCACTGGCAGCTTTCATGCGGTGGAGCCACTGCAGCAGGGTATGATCCAAACAGAGAGTGAAAGTGCATCTCAACAGGCAATAGCAGAGGGTGAGGACCACCCACCTGATGGCAAGACACTGTTTCTCAATGGTGGTGTACTTCGTCTCCCTTACAGAGACCTTGCAACTAACCTACAGCACCAGCAGTGGTTGACTAGTGGTATCTGCCCTTGCCAGCGAGGTGGCCTCCTTTAGGATTTCGGGGTGGTGGTTCTGTGCCCAATCAGCTGTTACTTCTGGTAGGTAGGCTATGAATTGCGGCATTACTACCCGATCAGTAAGTCCCTCCAAGTCCCATTCTTCAGCTAGGAGCCATCTCCTAAAGGAGCCATATAGCATGGACATGAAGGACCAATCTAACATCTCACTACCGGTGCTGCTTGGAGGTCCGGCTGACCTGCCAGAGGATGGCTTTCTTCAGATCCATGTACGCCAGCTGTGAACACAGGGGAAGCATTCGAACCACCCAGTCTTTCTCGTCCCACTGATAGTCCTCCGCAGCCCACTCAAACACTTCAGGGTTGTGGGGACTGTGGCCACAGCTGGAGGGTTGGTATTGTGCAAGAAACCTCGCACCATTTTCCTGCTGTTCTCTCTGACACATGAGTGCAGTATATTACATTCACGCATCACAGGAGTGATTTGACTTCCACAGACGTTTCTCATTGGTTCCCTGTTGCTGTGGGTTCCGGTCCCACTTCCACTGATCTAAAGCACATGCAGACTGATAGTAACTGACTAGCTAGTTTGTTTACATATTATCTGTGTTGTGTATTTTGTACCTGACAAAGGAAAAAAACAGAGCAAAAAGCCACACAAATGTAAAGTGTCTGGCTCTGTGTAGCAGCTGTGAATGGAGATGGGTATTGGGTTTGCTTTCAAGTTGACATTCTGATAGGCTCAGTTCACCAGCTGTCAGCATTAAATTTAATGATGTTGAAAGGAAACACTGTTGTGGGGTGGGAGGAGTGGATTGAATGTCATGTTTCTCTCTCTCTCCAGTCCCTCCTGAGGCGTCTCTGTTCCAGAAGGACTCTTCTTCTCCAGTGGTGTGTCATGCTACAGGTTTCTTCCCCAAAGCAGTGATGATCTCCTGGCAGAAGAATGGAGAGGATCTGCATGAGGAGGTGGAGCTCAGAGAGACGCTACCCAACCAGAATGGAACCTTCCAGAGGAGGAGCGTTCTGACTGTCTCACCTGAGGAGCTGAACAAACACAGCTACACCTGCATCATTCAGCACAGCAGTCTGGAGAAGGAGATGGTGCTACAGGTGTCTGATCGCAGAGTCCTGCAAGGTAGGAGATCTGAAAGGAAAAATGCTTTAAAGATGTATATTTATAAATCATCTAACTGAAACATTTGACCATGCTGCTGTTTCAGGTGAAGTCTCATACGGGAGTGCAGCTGTTATCATCATTAGTGCACCTGTGGTTCTTATTCTCTTTCTATGGATAACGAAGGAAAGGTCTGGTAAGAAAAACTTGATGCGACCTTAATACGCACCCAGAATGCACAACCAATACAATCAAATTTGGCAGCAGACCATTATCACACAAGAGTCAGCAAATGGCACAGAAGGTAGCATATATAGTTAGATCTTCCGTTGTTGCAGTATTCTCAGTATTCTCAAATGAGTTCAGGCCCAGAGAAGGCGGCAGCATTTCTGGATCCTGTTTATATACTGTTTCTTCTTTGCATGGTAGAGTTTTAACTTGCATTTGTGGATGCAGTGATTAACTGTTTTCACAGACAAAGAAGTGTTTGAGCCCATGCAGTGATTTCCACTACAGAATCATGTCTGTTCCACCTGAGGGCTTGAAGATCACAGCCATCCAACACTGGTTTTCAGCCTTGTCCTTTGCATACAGAGATTTCTCTGGATTCTCTTTTAATGATACTATGTAGCATAGATGATCCCAAAGTTGCTATTTTACGTGGAGATTACATGTTATGATTGGTATCAGCACAGATTTCATAACCCCACCTCCCTCTCTCTCCTCCAGAACCTTCGGATGAGTCTCTGTTAACTAAGGTGATCCTCTCTCCAGTGGATTATGAGTCTACAGGTCAGTTCCAGAGCTGAGACTGTATGTAGAGCAGCATTCCACAAAGAAATCACAATCCTAGAAGTGGGCCATATTCACAGGTTAGGAGGGCTGATTTAGGATATGTTCCTATCAGTAAGATCATCGTAAATACAACATAAATCTGATTCTAAATCAGCGCTCCTACTTTCAGAAGCTTTGTGAATACGCACTAGTGAGCACAACTGGCAGGGTTCATAGGCTCTTCAAGGGCAATCGCTCCATTAGAATTTGAGTTAAACTACATTTTTAAAGCATCTGCATAGTAGGAGTTAATCCGGGTTTTCAGCGTAGCGCTCTTTAACAAAGGTTAGAGTCCTCTGTTCAGTAGTCATACATCCAGTGCTGTTCTATTCACTGCAACTGAGAATGCAGTTAGAGCATTTTTAGCTAACTAGGCTAACTACTCTAGCTGATGTTAGCTAGTTCCAGAAACAGTGAGAATGGATTTCTCAGACAAATTATGTGTTGCCATATCATCTTCCAAGGAGAAAAGACCTTGTGTGAAAAAGACCATGAGTCATCATCAGCATCCAACTTGACATGTTAGCTCTGTTAGCTCATTAGCGCATCTAACATGAAAACCTGCCGATGTCAAAGCCATCCCTGCGGAAGAGAGCAGCGTACATCATGTTGGTTTATGCTGGTCAGGTGCTGATTTATGCTTATTTGATACTATTATTATTATTAGAATATGGTGCAGCTGTTATTTCTACATTTGTTTTTGCACTAAATTTTGATGAACTATTCCAAGATGTTGGCCACAGCTTCGCATAAACGCTTTGCTGATTTCTCCCTGTCTCTCCTAATATTGGCTATTATTACTCATCTAAAAGATCATGTTTCATTCTTTAGTAGCATTACACATTATGATTGGTATCAGCACAGATTTCATAACCCCTCCTCCCTCTCTCTCCTCCAGAACCTTCAGATGAGTCTCTGTTAACTAAGGTGATCTTCTCTCCAGTGGATTATGAGTCTACAGGTCCGTTCCAGAGCTGAGACCGTATGAATGCCAGGACATCCTTCACCTCTGAATCACTGTTTGTCTTTATGTTTGTCTTTACAGAGATGAAGTAGAGAAAAGAAGAACAAGACCCAAGATGAAGATGAAAGAGTTTTGAACAGTATTATAACGTCCTTTTTATGAGAAACATATTTCAACATGAACTCTTTATTTAAAGTGTGTAAGCTGTAAATCACTCACTCGCCCCACACACCCTCAATCAGCTACAGACAGAGCTGGGCTGACCTTAGTGTCTCCAAAGCCTGAGCTACGGAATATTAGGTTGAGCGACCCAGTTTTGTTTCTTACCGTGCCATTCTTATTTGTATTATTATAATTTTTAATAATCAAAAAAAATTCCTAAAAAGTGAAGTGAGGGTCAGTGTAGATGGCAAGCGTGCTGTTCTTTATCAGGTGTTGCCATAAGGTGGCAGTATTGTTCAAAAATATGAATCCTCCACCACTTACACCAAAACTGACTCCCTCTGATAAACAGGACTGAAAGCTTCCCCACGTTTCATGGTTATCACATCTGACCCCACGAGACTTCAGTCAAGCATTGTTTTGAGTCAGGCAGGTCAAACTCGCTTCAGAGGTGTCCAGCTAGCTGCCACAGGTGAGGAACAGAGCCAACAGAGACGACTCAAACAGAGAGAGAACAGCTGTACCTCACTGACCTCCACCCTGTCAGCTTTGTTTTCGTTTAATTAGCCAATGGACTGGGCAGTTTTTGTTCATCCAGTGAGTTGACCAGTTATTGGCAGTTGAATTTAATGAAAACTGAAAGTTGTTTCTATAGTCGTGTTTGAGAGAAAAAAAAGTGCTACTTTTTGCCATTTTCTCATTTTTTTAACACTGAAATGGACGGAAAAAGTTGGAATTTGTCCATATAGAATATAAATCAAACGTAAACGTAAATTATGTAATTGAAAAATAGCTGCAGACAAATCAGACTTCTAAGGGTCCCCAATCCAGTCATGGAGGCCAGTCCACATTTTCGCTCTACTTCAGCTTCCAACAGCACATTAATACTCTGCAGTCTCCACTAGGGGGAGCAGCGATACAATAAAGGCACTAATCCTTAATCTCTCTCTCTCTCTCTCTCTCTCTCTCTCTGTTTAAGTTGTGGTCAGCAGTGAAAGCGAAGCGCGTCTGGAAGACAAACGGATGCAGAGCGAGAACTAAATCTAGAACACAGAACATGTTCCTCCGTTACACACCTTAGAACCTTCCATACCAGTGTTCTGTACATACTAGTTAAATAGGCTTGTTATTAACTGTTAATAACATCAACAATGTCTGTTAATAGCAATATCATCGAGAACATTAACATAGTCTTCCAAGGACCCACATATTTACAACGATGAACAAAAGAAAATTGTAAAATAAATGCTTTTTTTTCTGTATTAGAAAATAATACGTGATAATAAAAACGTTCCAACAGAAAAACAACGTAATAACGTGACATTGTCAACGGATGCTGTGGTAGTAATCTGAAAAACAAATCCAGATAGAATTTCGCAAATAACGTAGAAATGATGTTCATTTTCAGCCGCAACAGGTAAAGAGGCTAAACAAAAGAACGCCGGCCTTTAACGTTATTATATATAGAATCCATGTTCAGTACAGTAGAATACATTCCTGCTCTAAGGCCTTAAATACCACTTAAATATCAGGCTAAATGAACAGTGTTTCAGAAATGCCCAGTATGCTACCAGTGTGGTGTCGATTTATGGCACTTAAGACCATTTGAGACCAATTTGGACATTTTTACCGTCTTCTACACAGACCTGTTCACACAGAAACACACTTATCCATGTGTAATTGCCATCATAAAGTACTTCAGCCAGGGCCAAAGTGGAACTTGTTTTCAGACCAGGAGTTACATGATGCAGACCAGCCCACCCCAAACTCCAAACACACACAAAAGGTGGGTAGGTGAACTTCACAGATACAATTTCAAAACATGCTAAACAAACATATTGTTTATCATAATAACAGTAAAATATTGTCATACCTTTAAGTACCCGTATGCAATGGAAGATTTTTGTTGTAGTTGTTAATGTTTAAGTGATTTGGTGATTAAGTGGGTTATTTTGTTATGTTTTCCAGGCCACACCTGGTCAAAGGACATATTTGTTGATTTTCCTATGTGTAAATAAGTGAACACATCTGTACACACACCTCTGTACATTTAAATACACAATTATTGTTTATTTACCGTATTTAACATGTTGTGGGGGATAAATAAAACAAATGTGGCCTGTGCAAGAGTCATGACATATTTTATGTTTTTTTTTATTATTTTTTTTTTTTTTGTTAAACTGAGCAAACAAATAGAAACTGCAGAAAAAAAGCCATATTCAAGTGTCTTCCCTGTAGAAAGTGAAATAACTTATTTTGACTTCAAAATCAAGAAAACATGTAATGTAATGTAATGGGGGTATTAAAATCTTTGCACATATTTCAGATGTTTATTCATGGAATTTAGCAACTGCACTCCACACCAAATACAGCACAATAGAGATACAGACAGAACTCAAAAACTGCAAAACTGGGATCAATGCTGCATTATTTATTGAGTTTAATAAGTAGCATATTGACAACCCACAAACTTCAGAGATAGATTACAAATGCAGAGCAGGCAGGGATACATAGATTTTTCACATAAGGAGAAAATCAACTGTTTTATATTTCATTTATTTTTATGTGGTATATATGAGAAAATGGTCTGCTGCATTGGCTGTATGGTAAATAGTGTATGGTAAACACCACAACAACATGTTTCCCTGAACTTCACCTGATTAGAGGAATCTCACTTATAATAGAAGATACTGTGCTGAATTCAGTCAGTGAACATTCGGATGACTGTGGCTGTGAATTAGCCTCACACAGTTATTTACTTACAGTGTTCAATATTTAGCCTCTCATTCGCTTCTACTACACGAGTTTTGAGTTTGCAGGTTTCTGCTTTTCTGCACTGTAAAAATGAACTCAACTTACAATGATAAGGTAACTTAGTATAACAGCATTTCATGAGTTAACTCAACTTGAGGACACCAACTCAAATGCCTTAGTTTAGTCCTAACAGGATAGATGAGCAAAAAAATGGAGGCTCTTTCCATCACAAAATCCCGCCAGGTATTTTCTCCTATTGAATTTACATGAACTAAAAG